GGAAGGGAGAGGCTGAGTGTGGATCTCTGTGGGCCCTTCCTGCTCTAACCAGCAGTCCATCTACCCCGCCCTCTCCCTGCATTACAGAATAGAGAAATGGCCTGTGGAGTTGTGGCTGGTAGAGGAGGCTGGTGTTTCTGAAGCTGACTTTTATCCTCTCTTTCCCATGTGATTGATTTCCCAGTGGTCAGCATTTAGGGGGTGAGGATCTGGACTCAGCCTCTTGCTCTGGTAACTGGGGCCGGGGCCGTCTTTAGGCTCGAGTCATCCTTTCTCTACCCTCTTGGTTGGTAGGAGGTTTCCAGGCAGCTGAAACAAAACGGGCCGTGTCAGCAGTCTTCCCACTGCCTCCTCAGCACTCGAGTCAGGAGCTGGAGAGGGGGAAGTGAGGGCCCTCGGTGAGGGGGAGGGGAGACCAGAAGAGCGGGCTACACAGAGCTGTCCTAGAACCCTCTGCTGGGTCCAGGGGCAAAGGGGCCCCCACAGGTCTGTGCCAGCCCTGGGACCCTCCTTTGAAGCATTTGTACAAGTGTTCCATGTTCTCCTTAGGCCAAAGATAGGGTCATTGTGTCCCCTGAAGATAAAGCCATAGCATAGCTATGCAAGAATAGGTCTGATTCAAAGCTGGGGGTGGTAGCTAGCCAGAGTGCCTGGAGGTGACAGACAGGTGGGAAACTGGCCACTCAGCCTCTGCCTGGCAGTGGAACAATACGTACTTCTGGGCTTTTCCCAGCACAGCTGAGCCTGTAAGTGTCCTTTAGAAGCCAGAGGTCAGCAACACCCCTGGGCAGGAGCATACTGGGAAACTGGGGAGCTTTCCAGCTGGTCTGTGCTCTTTGGGGAGAGCAGGGGAGGAGGACAGGCGGTGGACAGGCACCCTTCTGTGATTGGAATCAGGTGCCCTGGCCTTTTCTGCTCCTGCCCCTCACTGCTGCCTACCTCAGAGAGTGGTCCTGAAATGGTTCAAATGCAAATAGGCATGCATCCCTTTGCTCCCTTCCCCAGGCTGAGTCGAGGAAGCTTGTACACGCCCTACCCCAGACACACACACAAATTCCACCTCCCCTGCTTGGGCCTGTGTTCACTGCTCGGCTGGGACTTCTCTGTGCCCATCTTGGCAGCGGGCAGCTAAGTGCCAGTGCCAGGGTGCAACTGTTGGACATGTGTGGTGGTGGTGTCTCTAACCCGTTCTTGCCTGCTGACACCACCTTCTTTGTTACAGCGGCCTTCCTCACACAAACTGTCTGCTTGGACGACACAACAGTCAAGTTTGAGATCTGGGACACAGCTGGACAGGAGCGGTATCACAGCCTGGCCCCCATGTACTATCGGGGGGCCCAGGCCGCCATCGTGGTCTATGACATCACTAACACAGTAAACAATTTTTCTTAACTTCTTTCCCTGTTGTTCATCTTCTTGAAGCCCCAGCAATCTAGTTATCAAGGCCCCTGCTTCAGACCCCTGAGCTCCTCTGTTCCTGGGGTGGTGTGTGCCCAGGCCTTGTCTGTTGTTTGGGGGCATCTGGTCAGATCTTTAAGGTGTGGATGTCTTAGACATCTTGACTGTGACATCTCAAGTTTGTCTGGTGAGTGACCTGGGCAGAATGCCTCTCCCATCCCCTTGACATTGTGGTCCTATCTCCCCAGGATACATTTGCACAGGCCAAGAACTGGGTGAAGGAGTTACAGAGGCAGGCCAGCCCCAACATTGTCATTGCGCTCGCAGGCAACAAGGCGGACCTGGCCAGCAAGAGAGCCGTGGAGTTCCAGGTGGGGAGACGGACAGGACCTGGAGGGCAGGAGTACACCAGCTCCGCTTGGCTGCCTCCAGGCTGTCAGCGGCTTCAGGAAGGGCCGTGCTGGGAGGCGGCAAGGAAGCATTAATCTTCTATTCCTCCCAGAGCTCAGGCACAGGCCTAAGAGGAAGTGCCATCTACCTCTCTCCTTGTTCTTTTTCTTCAGGAGGAGAGGGATACATATGTGTAGTGTAAGCTTAGGTTAATTTTTTTCTTATAAATTGACTTTTAAATTACATCGAAAGTAATTATTTTTTATGTAATACAAGAGGGTGTGTGAAATGAAATCGAAGTCTCTTCTAACCTTAGAAATTCAGACTCCCTTCCCCCAGGTTCCCCACAGTTTCTTATCTTTCCAGAAATAGGCGTGTGCGTATGAGTTCCTTTCTTTACACAGTTGGGAGGGTGCTGCTGTGCATTAGCACGGTTTATTTTTTACCAGCCCCTTTGTGGATAGACCTCTAGGTTGTTTGTGAAGGCAACAGGCTAGAACAGTGCTGCAGTCACCATCCACATCCTTTGTCCAGGTGTGCAAGTGTCTTTGTAGAGGAACTTTTGAGAATTGTTCCAAGCCTAGTTATTTTAAGAACATGAAGGCAGAATGGACCTAAGAAAACTTCTGAGGAAGACATCTGCTGGTGTGTGTGCTGAGAGGTGCTAAACTGACGGGGGCCGGGGGAGTGGGGCAGATGTCTCAGGAGAAGGCAGAGCAGGAACGCCTTGAGCCTGATGGGCCTGGACTGGTGCAGCCTGTCTCTATTGTGGATAAGGCATTGTGACCAGGGATGGTTTTTATCTTGGGCCCCATCCTCTGCCAACTGCCGACATTTCCCTCCTACTCCCTCTCTCACCTCCGTCCGAACCAGGAAGCACAAGCCTATGCAGATGACAACAGTTTACTGTTCATGGAGACGTCAGCAAAGACTGCGATGAACGTGAATGAGATTTTCATGGCAATAGGTAAGCTGCCTTGCACCAAGGGGACTCCTGCACTGCTCTGATGTTCTGATAAAATAGTGTTGTCTTCTCCTTCATCTGAATCCCTGATGTATATCGTTCACCCCAGAGTTTTCTAAAGCCTGGGCCAACGTTCCAACTTTTCTCTTACTCCTTCACACTTTAACTTGCTGCCCATTTCAGAGACTGCCTTCACCAGCCCCCTACCTGCTTCTTAGAACTTTTTTTAGCACCTGGGCTCTGGATTCATCCTCCCTAGGGCTCAGATCCTAGCTCTGTCACTTATTAGCTCTGTGGCCTTGGGCAGGTTATTTAATCTCTCTTTGCCTCAGTTTTCCAAAACACTCAGAACATAATGGCATGTAGAAGCCTTCAGTGTGTGAGTTAGCACTGACTGAATGGTGAAGGCCAGATTCTACTCAGATGGAATTAGGAGAGAATATTGGGTGTCTCCCATCAAATGCATTTTTTACTCCTTCTCTCCCAAACAGCTAAGAAGCTCCCCAAGAATGAGCCCCAGAATGCTGCTGGCGTGCCGGGCCGGAACCGAGGTGTGGACCTCCAGGAGAACAACCCAGCCAGCCGGAGCCAGTGCTGCAGCAACTGAGCCCCCCCTTGCCTGCCCACTGCCCCCACCTCCTCCGCCTGAAAGACCCGACTGGAATCCACTCTAACCAATCGCACTTAACGACCAGGCTACCGCTGGGGGGGCAGAGGGAGGGGTCCTCCATGATTTCTCCATATAATTTTGATCATAGGCCGGAGTGAGTTATTCCACCTGCACCTTTCTGTACAAATACTAATTCAATTTTAAGTCTTAAGTCACTTTTTTTAATATATATGATCTGCTCTTCCCACTTCCTTCCCTTTCTACTGCTCCCCTACTTTTCCCTTGCTGGTAGTAGCCACGTGCTCCTGTAGTCCCCACCCTTGACCCTGGGGGCAGGGGCTGGAGCAGTTACCCTTCCTTCCCTTCTTGCTGAATAGCAGACTCAGCAGGAGCATCCACATCCCCACCTTGTTTGGAGCGACTTGACTTCTTTGGGTGGCGGGAAGGCCCTGGAGGCCAGAGGAGGAGAGCAAGCTTCCCTCAGCGGCTGTCATGAGGCCGCTGCACCCCCACCCCCCAGCTGGGAGAGAAACAAAGTTACTACAATTACTTATCACATTATTGTGACAGCCACGAACCCACTGCCCACCCCCACCCCCTTGGTCACCCTGACCTCTGGCTCTGAGCCCTGTTCTGACCAAATCGATGATGAGTATTTGGGGGTGGGTGGGTAAGGGGGGGAGTGGGGGAGGGATGGAACCAACTTTTTCTGTATTTTGTATTGTATGTTTTCTTCAACATGTAACCAATCAGTATCTTGTCAATATAGTCAGCCGATAGACCTCGCTCTCGTCTACCTTGTCTTTCTCTGGCAGAGTTTATCAGACCATGCCCTCTCTAGTTTTCTTGATGTTCATTTAAAACGAACCACTGAACCTTGTTTAAAAAAAAAAAAAAAAAAGATTTTTTTTTTTTTTTCCCTATGTGAGGGGATGCTGGTGGTCTTGGTAACCAAGAGAAAGAGGCCTTTAGGATTAGTGGCGCTTATGGGGTGGGGGTGGGGTCAGACGGACTTGGGGCTGAATCTCACCAAGTTTGAAGGGTTCTTCATTGGCCTCTCCCACCCTGCAGAGTACATGGGGGTGATGTACACTCTGTATTTGAAGATTGTTGGCTTCTAAACCATCCGAAGTGACGTCTTTGGGATTTTTTGATTAGTCTGTACCAGGCCTGTATGGGACTTGGTCCTCTCACCCTCTTACCTGAAGGGGAACATCGATCACCTGGAGAACCTGGGGCTGGTCATAAGGCCAAGGCTGCAGTGCCTGGCTTTCCTCACTGCCTCTCTCCTCATAGCACCACCACTGCCACCCCATACACACACACCAGGGCCAAGCAATCCTGTCCCCGGCCTCCCAGGGCCCCCTTCTGGTTCTGGAGCCAGATGAAGCTTAAGTCTCCAGGTCCTCTGCTGCTCCCTGCTGGACCCAGAGGTGGGCTGCCAAGGGCTGGGGGCTGTGGCCTAGCAGTGAGATGAGCTAAGTAGGGCAACATTCCCTTCCTGCTAACAGCCACAGGTGGACCTCCACCTCGAGGTGCCTGCCCTCCTCTTCCTCCTGTTCCTCTACCTCTGACCCCAAGTCCCAGAAAAGACCCCAGACGTCAAGGTTGCTGCACACACCGAGGTTGTTTACTAGCTCAGGCCAGGTTGGAACTCTTACAGCTGCGGCCCCTCAGTCTCGGAGACGGTCCTGTCTGGGTTTCTGGGGGAAGCAATGCCCGACACTGGCTTCTGACACACAGCTGGCCTGACGGGGTCAGGCAGCAGGTCATGGCGGCCGGATCTAGGTCGGGCGGCAGTTGCATTCGCCGGTGCACTTTCCGCGCCATGCAGAAGCTGCCCTCGCCCGGTCTGTGGCTCTGCAGGTGCTGCTGGCCCGTCACTATCAGGCACCCGCCGTCGACTCGCACCTCCAGCTCCTCAGGCGTGAAGCCGTGGGCATCCACCTTCCACTGGAAACCGCCCTCTGCATGGTCATCCTGCGCAGCTGCTGGATCGTCCCTGAGCAGCCGCACCGGCAGCCTGGCCACCTGGTTGTGTTCGGCAAGGGCCACGCTGGGACGCGTAAATAACCGCCACCTGCTTCTCGTTGGAGAGGCCGCTCCCAACCCTCTGCATCGGTGTGAGCAACTGCTGTCCAAGCACGCGCAGCTGCGAGCGCAAGCTTGCTCAGAGCGGGGCGGGGGCGCGCGGGGCGCTTACGAGGCTCAGCCTAAGGCGCAGCCTGCGAGAAAAGGACCCTCTCCCCGCGTGGTAGCCTCCCCTCTGCTGAACTCAGCTCTATTCCTTTCAGCTCGGTTCCCTTGTCTTTGTTGTTAGGTGCTGTTGAGTCGCTTTCAATCCATAACGACCCTGTGTACAACAACCACACTCCCCAGTCCTGCGCCAGCCTCCCAATCCTTGCTGTACCTGAGTCCATTGTTGCAGCCACTGTGTCAAGACATCTCCTTTGAGGGCCTTACCCTTTTTTGCTGACCCTCCACTTTACCGAGCATGATATCTTCTTCTTGGTGCCTCTGACAGCATGACCAAAGTAGGTCAAAGTCTAGCCATTCTTCCTCCCAAGGAGTGTTCCAGCTGCACTTCCACGACAGTCTTCTGCACTTCCGGCAGTCCATCGTACTTTCAGCATTCTTCTCCAGCATCACAACCCCAAAGCACAAGTCTTCTTCAGTCTTTCAACTCTTCGTTGTCCAGCCTTCACACACGTATGAGCGATTTAAACTTCTACAGCTTGAGTCAGACTAGACAGATCTTAGTCTTCAAAGAGACATCTTTGCTCTTTGTCACTTTAAAGAGGTCTTTTGCAGCAGATATGACCAGTGCAATACAATGTTTGATTTCTTGACTCCTGCTTCCATTGGTGTTGATTGTGAAACTAAGTAATAATAAATATTTGACAAACTTCTTTCTTCGTTTGTCATGCTGCTGCTTATTGGTCCAGTTGTGAGGATTTTCATTTAGTTTATGTCAGGTGTAATCCATACTGCAGACTGTAGTCTTTACTCTTCATCACTAAGTGGCATAGTGCCTAAGGCATTTGACTGCTAACCAGAAGGCTGACGGTTCAAACCCACCAGCCACTCCTTGGAAGGAAGACTAGGCAATCTACTTCTGTAGAGATATCGCCTCAGAAACCCAAGGAGGAGTCACTATGAGTCAGATCTGACTCAACAGTAGTGAGAAGTGCTTCAAGTCAGCTTCACTTTCAGCAAGCAAGGCTGTGTCGTCTGCATGTCCCAGGTTGTTAATGAGTCTTCCTCCAAACCCGATGCCACATTCTTCTTCATATGGTCCAGTTTGTTGGATTATTTGCTCAGCATACAGATTGAACAAGTATGGTGAAAGGATACAACCCTGATGCACTCCCTTCCCGATTTTAAACCATGCAGTATGCCCTTGTTCTGTTCAAATGACAGCCTCCTGGTGTATGTACAGGTTCCTCGTGAGCACAATTAAATGTTCTAGAATTCCCATTCTTCTCAATGTTATCTGTAATTTGTTATGATCCACACAAATGAGTGCTTTTGAATAGTCAGTAAAACACAAGTAAACATCTTTCTGGTGTTCTTTGCTTTCAGCCAAGATCCATCTGACATCAGCAATGGTATCGCTTGTCCCACATCCTCTTCTGAATCCAGCTTGCATTTCTGGACGTTTTCCGTCAATACACTGCTGCAACCATTTTTGAATTATCTTCAGCAAGATTTTACTTGCATGTAATATTAATGATATTGTTAGGTAATTTCCACATTCTGTAGGATCACCTTTTTTTGGAATGGGTACAAATATGGATCTCTTCCAGTCAGTTGGCCAGGTAGCTGTCTTCCAAATTTCTTGGCATAGATGAGTTAGTGCCTCTAGCTCAGGATCCATTTATTGAAACATCTCGATAGGTATTCCATCAATTCCTGGAGCCTTGTTTTTCACCAATTCCTTCAGTTCAGCTTTGACTTCTTTCAATACCATTGGTTCTTGATCCTGTTCCACCTCCAGAAGTAGGTGAACATCGTCCAGTTCTATTTGGTACAGTGACTTCTGTACCAAAAAGACTCCATCTTCTTTTGATGTTTCCTGCATCATTCAATATTTTGCTCACAGAATCTTTCAGTATTGAACTCAAGTCTTGAATTTTCTCTTCAGTTCTTTCAGCTTGAGAAATGCCAAGTGTGTTCTTCCCTTTTGGTTCTCTAACTCCAGGTCTTTGCACATTTCATTATAATAATTGACTTTGTCTTCTGGAGCTGCTCTTTGAAATCTTGTGTTCAGCTCTTTTATCTCATCATTTATTCAATTTGCTTTAACTACTTTGTTCAAGAGCAAGTTTTAGAGTCTCTTCTGTCATTCATTTTGGTCTTCCTTTCCTGTCTTTTTAATGACCTTTTGCTTTCTTCATGAATGAAGTTTTTGGTGTCATCCCACAATTCGTCTGGTTTTCAGTCATTGGTGTTCAATGCATCAAATCTATTCTTCAGATAGTCTCTAAATTCAGGTGGGATATAATCACGGTCATATTCTGGCTCTCCTGGACTTATTTTAATTTTCTTCAGCTTCAACTTGAACTTGGCTATTAGCAACTGATGGCCTGTTCCAGTCAGCCCCTGCCCTTGTTTTGGCTGAAGATATTGAGCTCCATCACCTCCTTGCACAAATGTCGTTGGTTCCTTGGCTTCTGCAAAGCGGCTGCACGCAGGTAAGAATCCTTTTTCAGAGGTGGGGGTCAGCTATGCATGTCCTACCCCCAAGGGTCAGGTTGTCAGCTGCCTTGGCGCTCCCACTCCCGCTTTTATCCTGCCCCTTTTGTGGGCCCTTCTCCACATCTGTCAGGGGCCCATGGGTAGCCTGAGGCTGTGACTGACCTGGGCTGGAACTGTAGGAACCCTACCCTGGAACCTCACGGGTCAAGATCAGATAGAACTTCTAGACTGTCTTGATCTTCCAGAAATCAGGCCTGGGGGCAAGAAAGATTACACCTAGCGGAGTGTGGCCCTCCGGGGTGATCCATTCTCTGGACCTCTTGCCTTTGCCTGACTGGGCAAAATGGCTTCTCGCCCGAGCCGACACGTCTTCCTGACCTTGTATTCCTGCTACACTGGAGCTGTTGTGCAGCTTTCCTTTGACACCTGACCCACTGCGGGAGACTCATGCAGCCAGCCTCTCATCCAGACTGCGTTTCTGAGGGCGAGGCTCCCTACTTCCGTAGTGATACTGCCTCGGAAACCCAAGGAGGGGTCGCTATGAGTCGGGGACGACTCGACGGCACACAACAACAACAACAACAACATCACTACGGAAGTAGGATTGCCCAACCTTCCTTCCGAGGAGTGGCTGGTGGGTTTGAACCGCCAGCCTTCTGGTTAGCAGTCAAGTGCCTTAGGCACTATTATACAGCTCAAGAAATAGAAATGTCGCTGAACTTTAATCTCGTCTGTAACTGCAATTCTGTCCCCGGGGAGCAGTGCGGGCCAGAGCCCTTGCAGGGCATGGGGCGTGGGAGAGAGAGGCGTGTCACAAAACCAGCTCCACCCAAATAGGCTCTTGTTTTCTGAGATGCTCCTCCTTATCCCGAAGCGGGCAACAGTCTTGACCATCGCAGAAGCCTCCAAGAGGGACCAGAAGTAAGGAGGAGTCAACGTGAGCTGCTCTCTTGGGCTTCACTTCTTTCCCTGAGATGGGGGGACAGAATAGAAAAGTCTGGAAGAAGGAGGCAGACAGAAGATGCCTTCGAAGACTACAATTCCCATCATACGCCACTGCAGCGACGCCTGCGCATTGAGCGCCGGTTGCCCATGCGGCCCTAGGGCTGGGAGCGCCGCGCCGCGCTCCGCTGCGGGGGAGGCCATGGCGGAACCTTCCCAGGCCTCGACCCCGGCCCCGGCTGCGCAGCCCCGTCCCCTTCAATCCCCAGGCCCTGCCCCAATTCCGACTCCTGCCCCTAGCCCTGCTTCGGCCCCTGCTCCAGTTCCCACCCCGGCACCAGCACCCGCCCCAGCTGCAGCCCCAGCCGGGAGCACAGGGACTGGGGGGCCCGGGGTAGGAAGTGGGGGGACTGGGAGCGGGGGTGATCCAGCTCGACCTGGCCTGAGCCAGCAGCAGCGCGCCAGCCAGAGGAAAGCGCAAGTCCGGGGGCTGCCGCGCGCCAAGAAGCTTGAGAAGCTAGGGGTCTTCTCGGCTTGCAAGGTGGGGGCGGGGCCTTGGTTGAAAGGGGCGGGGCCTGGGGCATCCAAGGGCTTGGGTGGGAGTGGGGGCAAGCTCTTGCGGGGGATTGGTTCCTTGCTCCTCGGTATAGGGTCATTGACTGAGCCTTCTGCCTTCAGGCCAATGAAACCTGCAAGTGTAATGGCTGGAAAAATCCCAAGCCCCCCACTGCACCCCGCATGGACCTACAGCAGCCAGCCGCCAACCTGAGTGAGCTGTGCCGCAGCTGTGAGCACCCGTTGGGTAAGGCAGGCAGCGCCTTCAGACCTTGAGGAAGGGTGTTGCTGGCTTCTGCTTAGATAGGATGCTTTAGGTGCCACAAAGCCTCATCGCTGAAAAACTAAAGATGCTTCCTAAGAGCTTGGGTTGGGAGTGTATATGCCTCAAAGCAGGAGAAAGGAATTCTGGCCACCCAGAAGAGTCAGAAGGCCACCCAGGGTTGACACAGGAGCAGCTGGTCTCCTTGGCCGGTCACACTGGTTAGAGGAGTTGAGAGTATACCTTGGCTGGTGGTGAAGGGGGATCTCTTCTACCCAACCTTCCCAACTCTGCTACCTGTCCCTCTTGCAGCTGATCACGTGTCCCATCTGGAGAATGTGTCTGAGGATGAGATAAACCGGCTGTTGGGGATGGTGGTAGATGTGGAGAACTTATTCATGTCTGTTCACAAGGAGGAGGACACAGACACCAAGCAGGTGTATTTCTACCTCTTCAAGGTGAGCTTTCTCTGAGTGAAGGAGTGTATAAAGGAGGTGAGGCGTGGGGCGTTTGCAGCTTGGAACCCTGCTGGCTGCTACTCCACTCTTCCCTCCAGCTCCTGCGGAAGTGCATCCTGCAGATGACCCGGCCTGTGGTGGAGGGGTCCTTGGGCAGCCCCCCATTTGAGAAGCCTAATATTGAGCAGGTAGAATGGGAAATGT